AGCCACTATGCTACCAGAGCTCCGTAGGTGGGTTCAAATCACAGATCTTTTGATTCACAAGTGAGCACTTAACCGCTTCACCCCCAGGGCATCTAATTTAATTTTGTTGATTTTGAAAAATAATTTAAACATGCTGTTTCCAAAATTTTTACTCAAATGTGTACATCAACTTTCTAAAAATTATGTAAAAGTAAGTCAGCATGGCTTTTCCCCAATTATTACAAAATGTACATTAACAATATAATTTTACAACATAGTTTAAACATTTCAACTACTGACATTAATAAGAGGTAATTTTAGTGAATGCCAGCACTATCCTAAATGCTTTACAGGTCATTGCTCCTTTAATTTTCCTTAACCTGTGTTATTACTGTAGCTCCATGTTATAGAAGAAAAAAAAAAAAAAAAAAAGCTGCCATATCAGAATTTTAATATTATGAGAGGCAGTATAATTTAGTCACTAAAATCGAGAGTTCAGAGATAAGACTGGGTTGGTATTTTGACCCATCACTTACTAGCTATGGGATGCTTTGGGCTTCTCTTCTATAACATGTTATGTTGTTATTTGCCGTCGAACAAATACAGTTCAAATAGGAGCTCTGATAGCATAGTGCCTAAGGCACTTGACTGCTAACCAGAAGGCTGGCGGTTCAAACCCACCAGCCACTCCTCAGAACGAAGGTTGGGCAATCCTTCTTCCATAGTGATACTGTCTCGGAAACCCAAGGAGGGGTCGCTATGAGTCGGGGCCGACTCGACGGCAAATAACAACATAACATGTTATAGAAGAGAAGCCCAAAGCATCCCATAGCTAGTAAGTGATGGGTCAAAATACCAATCCAGTCTTATCTCTGAACTCTCGATTTTAGTGACTAAATTATACTGCCTCTCATAATATTAAAAATCTGATATGGCAGCTTTTTTCCTCCGAATTACTTCAAAATACTAAAATAATGAAAAATTAATATTTTAGTGAATATATAGCTTTATGTACAGAAGGAAAAAGTTAAATTTATGTCTTACCATCTATAGATAGAATTGTTCCTTGGTATTTTCCCCCAAGCATATCATACTGTTTCTGAGTGACTTTATTTACCAAAGTAATTACACCTGTTCTTGAGTCAATAGCTATCAAGTTGCCTGGATTACTTCCCATTACATATCTGTATTTTAAAGAAAACAATACAAATTAATGTCAGCTACCTAAAAAAAAAAAAAATAGACATTTAAATTACAAAATGCATTTTTTTCCAATCAGTCTTTACAACCTTTGGACATAGTTTTCAACTACTAGAGACATCTTTCCTACCCTGCCCCAGACAGTACCAGCTGTTTGGCATCATTTAGAAGCTGACAATAATTTAAATATGAGAGAACAGAATTACCAAGCAGCCATTTCTGATGGACCATCTTTTTATGCCCATTTGGATTCAGAATAGTCCTTTGATGTTTTTAATCTCATTTTCATCTGATATTAGTAGCATAAGAGCTATGCTGGAAGACCAGACCCTGGTAGTTCTTAAAACTCCAAAACCAAGTTCACTGCCATTGAGTTGATTCTGATTCATAGCAACCCTCATTGGGTTTCCAAGGCTGTAAATCTTTACAGAAGCAGACTGCCTCATATTTCTTCCAGACAGAGCTGGTGGGTTTGAACCACCGATCTTTTGGTTAGCAGTCAAATGCCTTAACCACTCCATCAGTAGAGCTCCTTTTGGGAGTTCTTGGACTGCTATTAATTCTGAACTGTTCTCTTACTAAACAAGTCACTTCTCCATCATCTTGACTTTCAGCCTCTCCCTTTTCCTACTCTTCCATGCCACATGCACAACAACTTCACAGGAAGTTGTGAAGTTTGGTTTTAAATCCCAAACTGTTCCTCTTCATCTGTTCTCTTTCCTTCCTCATCTTTGACTTCAGTGTTTTATTCCTCATTCACATATGTATTAAACAAACACTAGTTAAACAACTCTTCTGTTTTAGGCATTGTGCTAAGCTCAGGGAATGAAACTTGGGAGAGGAGGTGGGGCCTCTGCTCTTGGTGAGCTCACACTTGTGGGGGTACATATAAACTGATCATTAATGGTGGTATAGTGTGATAAGAGCTTTAATGGAAATAAAACACAAAGACCTTTTAATATACATCTGTGTGGTTTCCTCTCTAAATTCACTGTTATTCTTGATCACAGGCACATGTGAAAATATGTACACATACATATTTTTTCATGATCAAGTAGAAATATTTGCACATGTATAGTCTTTTAAATTACATAACAATTTATTAAAATAACTAATTTTCATACCAATTTTTTTTGGCCAATATTAAATAGAATTAAAGTGAAGAAAACAACTGATATGATCTAATTAAATCTAATTCCAAACAGGACAAATCTGCAGTGGAGAAACCAGTCTTATAAAATATTCCAGGAGAAATAACTGTGGCATATGGTAATCAGCTAATTGATTAATAAAATATCCAAAACATAGGCATGTCAAAACTTTTAAATTAATAATATTTTCATGCTTTACATTTCATAGCTTTATATCTTTGTTTTACATCTTACGTCTTATATGCATTTTAATATTTTCTTAACTTAAACACTAAATTAAGTAATAATTCTATCATCAGTACTTTTACAATTAAACTATGGTTTCAAAAATGGTGAAAAGCATTTTAATTCAGATACTTAAAATTTCTAAAAAGAACATTGATGTTCAGTATCAAAACCAATGCTGACTCATGCTGACCCTATGGGACAGGGTACTACTACTCCACCGGGTTTCAAAGGCTATAATCTTTAGGGAAGCAAACTGCCACATCTTTTTTCCTGTGGAATGGCTGGTAAGTTTGAACTGTTGACCTTTTGGTTAGCAGCCAAGGGCTTAACCAATGTACCACCAAGTCTCCATTTTAAGTTTTAATATGTGGTGAAAATTAGAAGATGTCATCTTACCTGACAGTTGTTGAAGGTAGACCAGTGTCCAGGTCAGTAGCTACGAAGTCTCCCACTCTATAATTTTGCCCCATATTACTAGTTACAACATATGTCTTTGAACCTGGACGAAACACTGAACCTTCCACTTCATTTTCCACTGCCACTGAGATTGCACTTGCTGTGAGTTTATATTGAGACATAATTGAATGATGGAATTCAGCTTTGTTTCTAACAGCAATACTAAGTTGCAGATTCTGCATCTCTTCATAATCTAGGGGCTAGAAAAATAAGAGTGAAATAGCTCTATGGTAAAAAGGAAAACATTCCAGAGAAAGAGAGTTCTTTGAATATGGTAAAATAAATAAATAAAAACTTATGTCCACTTTCTTTGATTAAATATAAATTCTTAGAAACATGCAGTCTTATTTTATTTAAAATTCAATATAAGTACATGCAAAATGGTAAGAAAAAAAAAAAATCCAATTGTCCTAGAGCCTTCATTGAAAAGTTGAAAACATAACATGAGTTCTAGTTGTTCACAAGATAATTAAAATCTTAAAATAAAATAGGTGGTGAAATGCATGCATTTTGAGTATAGTTGAAGAAAGTTTATACTGTTATTGTTGTTGTTATGTGCCGTCGAGTTGGACCCGACTCATAGCGACCCCTCCTTGGGTTTCCAAGGCAGTATCACTACAGAAGTAGATTGCCCAACCTTCTTTCCGAGGATTGGCTGGTGGGTTTGAACCACCAACCTTCTGGTTAGCAGTCAAACGCCTTAGGCACTACACTACCAGAGCTCCCAGGAAGTTTATATTAGCTTCTATTATTTAACTTTTCTCTGAAAGTAGAGAAAATTTTATTTATTTATTGTAAAATATGGATCAAATACACTGATATTCAATCATTTGACTGGTTTTATCCATAAAGAATATTTAGAGGAAACTTCACTTTTATAAACATGGCTCTTTCAATAAATCAGGTAATACAACATATACATAATGTAAAGAAATTCTTATTTCTTTCAATATATTCTAGAAATAATTTATTTCATACTATAAAATAATTGAGTAGTCATTCTTATTATGAAAGATGGTGTCAATACCCACAAACTCATATCCAAATCCACAAGCACCTATGCAATTATGCCCATAAAAACTTAGTATATTTTAAAAAAATTCTCACATGAGAATAATTTAACCAAAACCAAAAACCAAACTTCCTGCCATTGAGTAGATTCCAACTCATAGCAATCCTTCCTTGGGTTTGTTTCTAAGGCAGTATCTCTACAGAAGTAGACTGCCCAGTCTTCCTTCTGAGGAGTGGCTGGTGGGTTTGAACCTCCAGCCTTCTGGTTAGCAGTCAAATACCTTAGGCACTATGCCAGGAGAGCTCCTGAGAGTAAGTTAGATGAGCATAAATTCACACTTTGAACCCTCCTATTTAGCTAAAATTTTCTGTCTGTGCTCTAATGTTGGCTTTCCTTGCAGTTCAATGATTGGCTATAAAATCGTCTATATACATACATATTACATATAAGTATTATATAAATGTAACCATAATGAAGGAATTAATATATGATATTATGTCTGGGAGAAACTCAATACCATCCCCATTTTACAGATAAAGATATTGAGGACAGAATAGTTGAATAATTTTCTAATGTAACAAAGCAGTTTGGGGTGAAACGGATTCTGACCCAGTTTTTCCAGTTGAAATTGTGGATGATCATTTGGAAAGAACGTGAACTTCATAGCTAGAGAAACCTAGGTTTGAATGTCTGCTTTACCACTTACAGCTATGAGACTTTGAGCTGGTTATGAACTCTCTCTTGAGTCTCTCTGTCTTCATTTTCAATATGGCCATGGTATTACAACAACAACAACATAGTATAACCTAATTAGCAGGAATGCTGTGAGGAATAGATTAAACCATCTGCACCCCATCTCAGTAAACAGAAGCTGAAGGCACAGTGGCACTTATGAAGACGTATGAGTCAGAATTGACTCGGACAGCAGCTAATAACAAGTCAATTGACTATACATTCCTATGGAGACAGCAGTCCTTA